GGGGAGGAGGAGGAGGACTGGTGAGAGTACTTACCTTTGTGGTTTGACCTTTCATGTGGCTGAGTGAGATTACTATTTAGTCTGAGTTTCGGATTGATAAGTAGTTGCTTTAGAAGCTCGCCACGTGCTATTGCCATATGAGTTAGTTTCAATTCCTGCATTTTCTGAGCTAAGTTTATTTTACTTAGGTCAATTTCCGCAGTTTCTGGGATCATTTCTTATACTTGGCTTTGTATAAATCTTTGTAAGTTACTTTCTCTATGGGAAGCGCTACCGAAATTTCTACAAAACCAAAGAGTTTGAATTTTCAAAGTTCAGTTTGTCTAAATTTTATGTATGGCTTAGTAAAAATTTGGAAAGTTTCATTTTCTAAAGACAGTGCTGCCCAAATGTTTGCTAAATCAAAGAGTTAAAAAAAAATGAATCTTGGGAAGTCAAAATTATTTCTAGGTTTAAACTTAGCTTTGTATAAATTTTGAAAAACTACTTTCTCTACGGGAAGCGATGTCGAAATTTCTTCAAAACTAAGGAGTTAGTTAACATTTTGTTTTGACTAAAATCAAACTTTACTTTAAGTTCTTATCTGACTTAGTATAAATCTGGGAAGTCTACTTTTCTAAAGGAGATGCTGCCCAAATTTTTACTAATTCAGGGAGTTAGACAAAATTTGACTTTTCAGAGTTAGATATTGTTTCAGTTTTTATAGTTGAGCTAATATAAATTCTGAAAAGGTACTTTTCTTACGGGAAGCGCTGCCGAAATTTTCTTAGTTCAAAAGGAGGTAGATTATATTTTGATAGGTGGTGGTTCTGGCGATCCACCCTGCATAGGGGAGATGCTGTCAAAAATCTATCTTTTTTTGGGCACTAGCTTAGAAGTAGACTTAAATTTTGTCATAGGAAGATTTCAAGTGAGAGCGCAATATGAGGATTTATTTTTCATACACTTATAAGCTTGGTTTGGGCGTTGACCTGTCTTGTGTCGACTTTGTCGGCTTATGACACAACTTCGCTTATACCTGTGCCTCAACTTGAAGCCTTAGCCCTGGGATTTGATATGTTTCTTTGAGGGTTTTAACCGGACTACTTTTAATGACCATTATAAAAAAATTATGAGATTTTATGGAAAGTTGGACTATGACTGGGGGCTTGAGTATGTGGGGCATGGTATGATTTACAGGGAACAGTAAAGTTGACCACGTTGGTGCATGACAATGTGACGTTCGTCTGTGTCTGCGTTTTATACAGGTTAGTGTTTTGAAGCCTGTGTACGAGCCTTGTTTTGGAGGCAGTGAGAATGACAACGATGTGTCGCACGATTTGTATACCTGATGGGTTTAAGTTTCCCTTTCCTTTATTTTATCTCGAGTTTTGATTTGATACATTAGTATCGGGATGATTGATTATTTTTTTCTGATGAATTTTGCTTGTTAATTTTTATAGTTGGACGTTGGAATCCGTGACAGCCGTCAAAGTAAAACCCCTCAAATTCTCTCCAGACCTTGAATGATGGAGTTGGTCTCCAAGACAATAAGAGACGATTGTCACCACAGGTATGAACCTGTGTGCCACCCACTCTCCGCAGGGTGCAGAAGAGGGTGTGGTTTTCAACCGCACTTGGCGGTTGTCTAGCGTCGAGAGATTGACCCCTCAAGGCACGTGTCAGCCGACACTTGAGTGTCAAACTCGACCCTTGAGATTATCAAGGACCGCATGGTTACTTATAGGTACTATATAGTATACCATAATTGCGACCGCTTGCGTAAGCATGCATTGCTAGTCGATATGGGAAGATTCTGCGTCTGCGAGGTTTTATACTAAGTTTCGCGCGCGTCGTCTATCCAATTTCCGCGTCGGAAGGTTATGGGATGGCTACAAAAAGGACTAGGAGTGTTCTTGTGTTGTTTTGTTTTGTGTCGTTCTGTATGTGTGAGTGTTATGGTGTAACGTGTGGTACGTGGGATGCGTCCTAGTTGACCGACGACGAGCTGCGTTTGGGACTTCAGCCCCCCAGTGCGTCGGTTCGCGTGTGGTTTCGATAGAGGCGTAAGACCGCGCATACCCCCTACGCTACAGCGAATGAGAAACGCCCTCGGCTGGTCCACCTCTGCGATTGCAACTAATTGGCTTTCGTACTGTGGACTGGTAGCTCAGCGGGGATACACCCACCGAAGGGAGGTGACAGCTCCCGCAGGTGGAGGTAAGTCGTGCCTCGTGTTGGCCATATCCTGTCGTAGGGGCTAGTGAGAGGTATGGCTGGCGCACTCGGCCGGAGCGGCTTGTGGAAGCTCCATTTGTATCGTGACGAGGAATAGACCAACTCCTGCGTGACGCGGCCAGGAGGGTCCCACTCTGCGCAGCGCGGGACAGATGCGCTTGGCACTGTGTTGGCCAACGGAAAAATACCCGAACTTCCGCGAACTTTTGCGGTCAGAAGGATGATTCCACAACTCTACGAATTGAAGGGCCTATAGATTTGGTCGTGATCTTTCCACGAAAAAAAAAAAAAAAAAAAAAAAAAAAAAAAAAAAAAAAAAAATCGTGAAAAAGTGTCGCACCAAATCGTCTCATTTCCCATTTTTGCCAATTTACCCAACTTGAGCGCTTTTTCGCGCTGAAAGGAAAATGTAAAGAAAGCTGAAAATAGGACAGTATATAGATTTAGTAGTGGTCTTTCCAGAAAAAATATGTAAAAAAAATAGAAAAATTCATTTCAACTGCAAAAAAAATCACGGCGGCAATTCGATGCATGTAACTGTTTGCCGCTTGCTAGCTCTCCCCACTGTGCTACCAGTAGCCCTCATGAACCTGTGCTACCGGTCCCCCCGAATTTCGAACCGCAGTGTCGGTGGTGGTTTAACTATTTATTAGGGAAAAAAAAAATTCATGAGCACTTCTTAGGGGGTGCAGGGTTTGTGTGTGGATCCAAGTCCGAACTATGGGGGGCAGGGGGTTGGCCCATAACTTTGAAAAATTACTACTCTACGACACACACACACACACACACACACACACACACACACACACACACACACACACACACATAGGGGCACACACACACATACACACAGACACACTGATGGATACTAGACACACACACTCACACACGTGACACGCACACATACACACACACACACATACACAGACACGCGCACATACATACACACACACACACACGGGGCAGACACACACATACACAGACAGACAGACACACAAACACACRCACACACACACACACACACACACATACGCACACTTTCTACTCTACGACACGCTATCACACTTTACGACACTCTACTTTACGACACTCTACTCTACTTAACGACACTCTACTCTACGACACTGTACTCTACTTTACTTCACGGCACTCTACTATACGTACTCTACCATACTTTACTCTACTCTACTCTACTCTACTCTACTCTACTCTACTCTACTCTACTTCACTCTATGACAGTCTACTCTACTCTACGCCCCACCCACCCACCCATCC